GAGACACACAGAAAGCACGGCCCGCTATGCCGCTGGGTCTGACAGCTCCAGCGGGCTGCTCAGCCACGCTTCCCGCCTCACCTCAAAAGCAAGCTCTGCATCCACCTGCTGTTTAAATTATTCCAATGTTCAAAGAAGTATTCTGGCCAAAATTCCTGGTCCTAATGCAAACTGCATTCAGAGCGCTACGCTTCTTTGATCCCATTCATAGTGTAAGCTAGGAAATACCTGTCTTTTCTCTGAACTTGAGAATTTACCATTTTAAACATTAACTTGGGACGACAACAATGATGCCCTAAAAAGAAAGTTAAGGGCAAGTAACAACACACAAGTACTGGCCATGCTTTTTAACACTAATACTTCACTGTTGCTGAAAGTTTTTAACAATTCTTTTCAAAATACATTTGTTTTTTGAATTCGTGTTCTTGGCACTAAATTACACAGCCTTATTTGTTTGACTTAGGCCAAATAACTTCCAACTTCCAAGAGGGAAGAGAGGATCATAAAATTCAGTATATGTAACTGGATTTTAATCAAAATCTTCACAACTAAGGCCTTGAATTTCAGAATTTAATGACTGAAGCTTGTGCTACAGCTCTGCACTCGATTCTCATGCGTAACAAACGTATGAAATAACTTTTTAAAGACTGGTCTTGGTGTACGGGTGAAAACAAATTCTCTAATGCAACAGAGTGTCTTAATTTAAGGAACTCTGAAGGTCCTCCACCTCCATGTTCATGCTGCTACCTCCCCTTAAACACACTGAGAGACAACCTTCATTATTTTTTGGTTTGATTCTTAAAAAGCACAATGTTTCACCAGGGCATCAAGGCTCATTTCCAGCTCCAATCAGAATCTGAAGCTGACCCAAGATTCCCCATCAACTCTCCCCTCTGTTATCGAGTAGGAAGGGAAAATAGTCTTAAGTCACTTATTTCTCATGAAGCTGAACCATCCATTCATGGGAGCGAAGAACAGCACAGACAACAGAAGAGACCTATACTTGTTTCTCTGAACTGTTTAATTTAGAGAACAGTTATCTACATTGTCTTTCAAACCCTTTAAATCATAACCGATACGTTTGTAGTTTGCAAAATTGCAAAGTTTGGTGGCATTTTTTCCACTTACCATCAGTTCTTCCCATATAAAAACCACCTTTTTGAACTGGGCTAGTGGCTATTCTTTTCCTAAAAACAGTCTACCCATCAAAGAGTTCCAGAGTTAGCAAGGACATAGTAAGTGTCCCTTAGTCCCAGGTATAGTTGATTAAATGTGCTGTTTCTAACAGCTAAGCAACTTATTTCATAAAACCTCAGGCAGTGTCATCAACTCTCCCCATATTTAGGTACTAAGAACACACACAAAATTCTACTTTAAAAACTAAAAATTTAGAAAGCTTCCAAAATAAAAGACTACTAATCCAACACACTGGCTCCAAGTCAAGAACTGTAGCACAAAATCTTCCACATAATTAACAACATTTTTAAAAAGTTTAAAAATAACATGGCATGATTAAGTAACAACAAAAAGTAGAGCTGAAAATTCTTCTTCTATTAGATAAAATATTATGAAGATAAATATTTTAATGGACTTGCAATGAAAAGTAATGGTGATCAACTCCGAAGAGGTTTTCTTTACAAAGCTACAGACAATTTAAAGACTTCTTCCCTACAATTAGTATTGACAGGACTTAACACCCTGAGCATTTAAGATATATACATCTCAAGTGTCATAAACACTGGAAATATTTTATCAAAGGGTTCAAGAAACCTTATGTCACAAGTCTTGGAAACTCACGCCAGGTATAGTTGTCCTGGGGGAAAATGGAAAAAACACCACACATTTCAGGACAGAAAATAACATTAAATGCTTCTGGTGTATTTTACTCCCTGGAAAACAGGGAGAAGAGCCCTCTACAATGCCTATTCACAAACACTTTGAGCTGTATCAGAATTTCAGTTTTCAGCCCAAAGATACTTTCTAAAACAACAACAAAAAGACGAAATAAATCCATGCTGAAAATTTTTTGAATAAAAATTCACCACAAAAGAAAGCGAATTATGGCAAATGCTTCTAATGCATCAGCATTTCTCAAACACAATCCTATCCTCTTTTTAAATATCACTCTGTAATACTGAAACAGAAATAAAAGCGTTTCTGTTAGAAGTTAGGATCTGGAGAGAAAAGCTATTTCATTTAATTAGCATCTCTTGAATATGATCTTACAACTGTCTCAATAGCTTTTAATACTGAAGTGCAATTTTTCTAGTAACCAACAAGGGGCTCAATCAAAGTAGAGTAAATGGAGATGAATTCTTGGTACTATTCTAAAGGAAGCAACCTGACTAACAAAGTGATGTGGAAAGAAGCACTTTAAAGAGCCCATTATGGAAAACACAAAGGCAAGTAAGCGTGGACAATAAAATACTCGACAGTTGAAGTCAGAAACAATGTAGTTCACGCTCAGGAAGGTCCATTAGAAAACAGTCAGGATAGGCATTGTTCTTACAGTTATTAGTATAATTAATCACAGAACACTTCTGAAGTGGTAGAAGGTGTGTTCCAGCAAAACATGTCCTCTGCACAAGTCTCAACAGGCACAGAAAGGCCATACACAAAGCTATGCTCAATGGCATTGTTTTACAGATGATGAGGCTTGCCACAGCACTTTCTTCTCACTCAGTGCCTGCAAATGTAGTAACACACATACCACACAGAGAAAACTGCAACAACTTTGATTTCCCCCCCCCCCCCCCCCCCCCCATTCCTGGAAATAAAACATATTGCTAGAAATAAACCATGTCAATCTGTAGCAGATTATAAACAGCAGCGAATTATGGCAGGTTCTCTTAATGTTTTTTTACAAACTAATTGGACCACGTTGTCACAATCCAGAGCACCCTGGCATCCATTTACTAATTCAAGACAGTTCCTCCAAGTGAACTAAAACAGTTATTCCAAAGGGCTGATTTGGATAACAGTCTCTAAAGTGTTTTAGATAGGATAAATATGGCATTAAAATTTCATGGACGTTGTAGTTCTGACTATGTTAGATTTCTCTAAACAATAAGTAAAATAGCAAAGTTTATCACAGGGTACCAATCTGAAGTTATGACAGAGTTCTGCCTTGATCGCAGACCAAGCCCAAACTGTAGTTGTAGCGGCTGCCAATGAACTACAACAGCGAGTAGCCTTTCACTAAATTGAAGTTGCCAACGGTGCATAAAACCAACCCACTGCTATATTCCTCCCCCCCCCAGCGAGTCAGCTGCCCCTCCGTTCCTCTTGCCGAGGCAAGGAGAGGACTCCTGCAGAGCTCAGGTGGCACCACTCTGCACAGGGGGAGGATGCAGGGATTGTCTCAGACACCCTCTCAAGCCCTGGTTAGACCCCAGGGTTTCTCCACCCAAATCCTGCCTCAGAACCAACCAACTGCTTAAAGCACTCTGAGAACAGAAGGGGTGTTTAGAGAGTACTCTTAACATGATTCTCACCTTATGTGTCTATTAAGTATGTAGACTCTATGACAAAGTAAATCATTTCCTTGCTTCCTGCCAAGAGCTTCTGTTGATGGCAAATGTTGTGCAAAAGTCAAAAATAAGATGCAAACATTACAGGCCAAGTACTCATTTCCTTGTATTTCAACAAAAATATTTTCACAACAGCATGACAACCATCTGAAAGTGTGCAAGACTCTAGCACGTACTGGTTAGTAGTTTTGAAAAAACAGCCACTGCAGCATCCAGTGTTCTGCCTGGATCAATGACCGAAACAAAAGAACAAAAACAAGGAAATGTGAAGTAAAGGTTAATTGCATACTATGTTGTGTTGGTGCTATAAAACTAGCTCAGCTAAAATATGTAAGTGACCTTGTGTGATAATTGCTTGGAAAAGCAGGCAGGCAGCTTCAGATAGGAAACGTAGTGAAGACAATTTTTAGAATGTCTAGAAACAAGCAAGTTTCAGTATAGTCCACGTAATAAGTCACCTAGTCATATCATGAAAACCAAAAATATTACTTTCAAGGTGTTTGCTTTGGGGGTGGGAGACCTTCAAGGATCTCTACTATTGAAGTTAACCACTGCTGTCTGCCCCCAGGCAACTCTGATGAGCATGCAAAACGGGCTGCGTATTTTTTAATGATTTCCTATTGTTCCATAGTTAGTACAAAAACGAGTACATAAACACATCATAATAGACAAGATACCATTTAATATCTGTTTAAATACCGCAACTTTATTGACATATTCTCTTAAAACTTTATGCTTAGCCGTTTTCCTTCTTTTTAAACCCACAGGGGAGGCACAGCAGCAATTATGCAACGTTCTTCCTTCAAAGGCAAGGCAGTTTTGATCGAAACTCCCTCAACGTTCACAGAAAGCCCAGCACGTCCCGGCCCAAATACTCACGCAGAGGTCCCTCACGTTATGTCCTCAAGTTTGCAGCCGGGCAGTAAAATATTTACTCGGCACCCACAAGCAAACGTTGCCTGCCCGACTTGCAGAACTTTGGGGTGGTTGTCGGTGACAGCCCCTCACGGCGATACCGGGGGCCGAGTAACCGCACCAATTAGTTAATGCAGAAGGGGGCAAAGAAAAATTCAAGGCTGAACGAAGCCGAAGTCGGTGTCCGAAACACAGCGCCCCTCCCCACACAGGCACACACCCCCCCCCTTCCCCCTGCCCCCGACCCTCAGGTAAGGCAGCAGGGACGCACTGTCCCCGCCTGCCTCACCCTCCCGCCTTCTCCCAAGCGCCAGCCCGCTGCCGAGGCACAGCCTCAGGCACCCTTCGCCTCACCAGCGCTGCCCGCCACCATGTCGTGTCCCCCCCCCCAAACTCTTCCTTCTCCTCCCTCACACCGACCCACGGCGCTCAACTTCCTCAAGGCGCAGCGCGGGCACCTGCGGGGCGCGGCCGGGCCTCCCGCGATGGCGTGAGGGGGGGACCCGGCGCCTGAGGGAGAGGCCGGCCGGCCACAGCGCCCGCCCGCCCGCCCCACACCGGTGCCGCGCCCGGCGCGCAGAAACCCCGCTCCTAGGGACAGGTCGCCCTCCCTGCCGCCCCCCCACCCTCTCCTCTCCCCCACAGCAGCGGCCCCAGCTCACCTCAGGGTAAGGACGTGTTTTGTTTTTTTTGTTTTTTTTTTTTTTTTTTCTTTTTCCCGCACCTCAGCACCCACCCACCCCCCCGCAAGGACACGGCGCTCTCCCGCCGGCTCCCAGGTCACCCCCGCGCCGCTCCCCTTGTTCAGGGACACCGCACCGCCACGGCCCCCCGTTCCCCCGCGGCTTCTTTCCACTCAGCCCACGGCTCCCCCCCACTCCACCCCCTCACCCCCCCCCCGTCCGCCATCGCTCTCCCTCCTCCCGCCCCACCGCCCTCTCTCCTCCAGACCCTCTGCCGCGGGGTGATGCAAGGTGCCCAGGGCTTCCTCTTGCGTTACGGGAGAGAGGAAAGGAGGAAGGAAAGCAAGCAAGAGGAGAGGGAAACTGAAGAAGAAAAAAAAAAAAAAAAAAAAAAAAAAGATAGCTAGGTGAAACGAGAGCCTCACTCCTCATTGCCCACCTCCCCACCGGCAGTACCCGGGCAGGGCCCCTCCGCTCCGTCCGGAGCCCGAACCCCCTCCCGCTGCCCCCGGGGGGTTATTCCCGAGCTCCCTCACCGCTCTCCCTTTAGGGCCGATTCTCCGCGTCGCTGCCTCTGGTGTAATGAGCTGAAGACCGGAGCGAGCCGCCGCTCGGAGCTCCGCTCGCCGCTCTTTGCCTTCAGCCGAACGGGCCCGGGGCGGGGGCGGGGGGGGGGGAGCTGCGCGGCTCCGTCCGGCCCCGCTGTGAGGCCCTGCTCCCGCCGGAGCCCCTCCGGCTGCGGCGCCGGGCCCGCCTGTCCCCTCCGCCCAGGCTCTGCTGCACCTGCTGCGGGGCTGGGGCTGCCCCTGCGCCGGCGGGCCGAGGAGAGGAGAGGGCTCCCTCGCTCCGTCCTCCCTCAACTTCTCATCGCTTCCCTCTGCCCCCACTCCGCTCCGCCGCCCGGATACACCGGCGCTGCCGTCGACCCCCCCCACCCACCCCCCCCCCCCGGAGACGCTGCCACCGGGTCCCTCGGCTGAACGAGGAAAGGCTGCCCCTCACCCCTTCGCCCTCGCCGGCGCGGAGAGCCGCCGTCCGGGTCGCCGGGCGCCCTGCTGCCCCATGCACTGCCCCGGCTGCCAGGACAGCGGGCAGCTGCCGGCGGGGCAGCTCCCCCGGGCCCGCCTCTGGCGGGTGGGACCGGGGCCGCCCTCCGCCAATCAGTCCGGTGCGGCGGCGGCGGGCGCGGCCGAGGGGCTGCCGAGCGCCGCCGGGGCCTCCCCCCCCCCCGCCGGGCGGCGGAGGGCGAGGGGCTGGGGAACCTCCCCCTCCGCCTGTCGTAGCCGTGAGGGGTATCTCGGCGGAGCCCTGTCCTACCGTCGGGCCTTTGCCGTTGCTAAACGTCTTCTTGGGTTAAAAAAAGAAAACACACGAGCGCCCCAAAAAAGCCCGAAGAGTTTTGCCCCCCCCCCACCCCCTTTTCATTACCGCTGAGTGCAGTTGCACTAATTGATGCTGGAGCGACACACAGTCCTTCATTGCCTCTTTTTGCAGGAAAGGGGTCTCAGATCCCCGGTGCTTCGGTACCTGCCTGGGTAAGGCTGACTAAAAAGAACGTACAATTCCTGTATCTCCTGTCCTCCATCATCCTGAAAAAGACCTACCAGCAGCCTTCCAAGCGATCACCTGGCAAAGTTTAAATACTAATGGTAATTATCAAATTAGTTTTGTGTGTGTGTTGTTTAGGTATATGTGGGTTTGTGTGTTTTTTTCCTGTCATTAACTTACTATATAATAAAAGTGTAGTTTCACAGCTGACAGACAGCAAAGGTCTTTAAAAGAACAAGATTTGCCCCCCTCCGCCTTTTAAAATCCAAACTTTTTCCCCGCTTGCTTTAAGTTCAGAAGTGTTTTATGGACCCACCAAAGTAAATGCTTATTTCACTGGAGTTTTTGCAATGAAATTTAAAGGTGAAGAAGTTTCAGACAGTCTTTCTGATTTGACAGGTCAAGTTACTCCTTTAATAAAAGTGAAGGTTTAAGTTTCATCAGACAAGAAAGTTAATGAAATTTTAATGATAAGTTAATGAAATGCACAATAAGAAAACTGAACATAAGCTCTAAATTGATCTCCATTCTAGTCAAGATGGCTCGCAAAAGAAAATTAAACTTTCATTCAAATTAATCCAATTTATTTGGGACATAGACCTCATGATATTCGTTTTGGAGCCTTTAGAAAGCTCTTCTGTTTCTCCCGTATAAGACAAATGATTAACATTTCTCAGATCTTGTGCCCCGTTTGACATCTAGTTAACATTACATTAGGTGTTAGGCTTAGCAGGTGATACTCAAATCCTACAAGCTAATAGCGGCCTTTGGCTTGGAGGTAAGTACTGAGCTGCTAAAAATGAGGTTCTGAAGGTAAATGTCCCAGAATCAAGCATACAGAAGCACTACTGTGTAGAAAGATTTAGTTCCTTCAGGCAAAATAAATTTCAAACTGGAATGCCAGTTGAAGACAATAGGTAATCGCTAAATTAATTAAGCTCCTCTGCATATCTAAACTACCTTCTTATTCCAGTGCTTACTGATTTAGTAAAATCCAAATAGTGCAGACCCATTCTTAGGTTAACAGTGGGTTTAAGTCTAGATTTGAACCAAGTATAACTTTTGTTGAGACTTCCTTAGGATGTTGGTATTTCCTGCATGTTTATGAGTATTCTTTTTATTTCTTCAGTAAAACAGCTTTAATAAAGCTGTTCTTGCTGTAGAAGTAGGAATGCTGAAAAGTAGCAATTGGTGCAATTACCTGGGGAATTTTATTAAAATTACTTATCAGACCTTGGTAAAAAATTAATTTAAGAGTCTTTTTGTGGAATGTTGTATTAAAAATGTCTCACAGTGATGGTAGTATTTTGAATTTAATTACTGTGTACTATTTAATACTAACTCCAGAGAGAATGTTGCTTCTAGGAGCTTTTTTTATTCATCCCTACACCTTCTAACCTTCCTGTCAGCAAGTCAGAGTTGCTTGATTTTATCAGTGTTCTGCCTCCCCAGTTTCCTACCTTCAGCAGACCGGTGTAGGTCAGATAAAATATTTTATTGAAAATTAAAATGTTCAGAGTTAAGGATTTCCTCATATCATTGTACATTTATTGTAACGTGATGTAGTGATCTTACTTTGGTACAAATATTTCAACTCCAAGTACGTGGTATTGTCCTGTCTTTGTCTGTTACGGTTACATGCTAGTGCAAAATTGTTTTTATTTCAAACTCCAGATACGTGTATAATTTTGTATTTAACAATTTTGTATTTCTTTCAAATGGTATCTTTTTTCATTTGAGGGAAGTACTGAAATATTTGGTACCCAGTGTTATGAAAGCCCCTGCTCTCAGAGAGACTGACTTTGGGATTGGAAGAGTATCTTCAAATTTGAACACTCAGTTAGTATAATCTCAGTTTACTGTTTTCTAGTCAGATAATCCTGTGATGATTTTTTTTTTTTTTTTCTTTGACTAGTCCAGGAAAAGCAACTTCAAATAGTGGCTGTAGTTGGATATCTTTTCAATGGTTTCCTGGTATAGAAGACTCCAGATGTACTACATGTTGATTGTCTTGCCTTCAGTGTAGGTTTTAAGTACAGAGATACAGTGCAGTTTGGAGTGAAACCTTCTAAAGTTCCATATCACATTCATTTTCCTGCATTTTCTTCCCACTAGAGTTTTTATCATTCTCATAAGAATATAGAAATATCACACTGTTAATTCCAGATTTCTGCTTCTTCAAATCTGCTTAGTTGGACTAGACAATGTATGTAAGTTAAATAGAAGATTCTGTCCCTTGTGCTTTTCTCCTGATTGGCACCGGTGTGCTGACAAAAGAGAGACTGATTCCTCCAGTAGATTTCTGGATCCTAAGGATTCACATACAGTTCTTCAAGTGTTTCTTTCCTAGTACCTTCTTTGTTTTGACTATACATGCACGTACTTCAAGAGTTTCTACAGAGCAAAGTCAAAGTATAACCTTCCTTGTAACTCATCTAAGTGTTAGTTAATTTTGCTTGTTAATTGCTGTGAGATCATAAGCAGCCAAACTAGTTTATTTAAATAAGGTTTTTAGTTCTGTTGCCTTACCAATTTGCCAGATGGAACCAATAATCTGAAATGTATATTACCTAATTTAACTGCAGTGTTACCAGATAACTACCTCTTCTAAATCTGCTTGCCATGTCTTCTGACCTTGTTCACAGATCCCCATAAACATAATGAAGGTGTACAGAAGAGTGTGCCTTTGCTGTAGGCAACTGTTGGCCTTATTATCTCACATAATTGACACGAACACAAAAGTCACATTTATTCTACCTACATAGGTGGTTCCCATAACTCTGTATTACGGCTACAAATGGTGGCTCCCAACAGAAAATAACTACTGTGTGATCACTCTCTGTTTTGTGGATCTTGTAAGTGTGAAATGGTAATTTCTAGTTAACTGATGTGTATTCGGGTAGCAGCAGAATATGAGGCTTCTCAATCACTTTTTCTCTTAGAGGAGAAACCTGCGATGCACCTGCAGTTCTCTCAGTGCAGCCTGTGTGTTTACAAAACATAATGTTCTATTTCCTTGACCAGAACTTTTAACAAAGGAAGAGGAATCATTTATAAACAAATTTAAGTGAGATCTCATCTCTTACTATTCCCTGTCTAGCAGTACTGTAACCTTCCAAGGAGTTTTTTTCTCCTGAGTGTGCATTGACCACAGGGTCAGAACAATTTCATTTAGAAAAGTGTTAAAACCATTAATCCTACTTCAATGTGCCTTGTTATGAAGGACATACTGTGGTTAGAGAAGGTACAGGGAGGAGTGCTTAAAGTGTTTAAGGGAATTGAGCAGCTGCCTTATGAGACTAAAGCTGGAACTCTTCTATGTGGAAAGGAATAAAGCTGAGGGAGGATATGGTCAAGATTTGTAAGGCTGTGAAGCAAGTAGAGATGATAAATACACAAGCGTTCTTCACTAGAGCCTGTAATCCAAGAACCAGGTGACACTAGCTGCAGCAAGTATCAAAACAGATTAAAGCGATGAAAAGAAGCTCTTCTGGAAAAGTAGCTGACCTTGATTTTTTTTTTTTTATTACCAAAGGAAGTTACAGAGGCAGGCTGTTTCAGCAGGTTCAGAAAGGGAGTAAGCAGCTCATGAGCAACAAGTCTATAAGCAATCACTAAATGCTGGGGCTTATCCTGTAACTGTCCAAATGCAATAACTGAACGCCCTGCGTGAGTAACAGGGGAGTTGATTATAGGAAGTGGCTGCGCTGCCTTTGGAGGGTATTTTCTCTTCCCGTTGTCAGAAACTGAATAGTGGCCTAGAGGGACTTCAGTCACCAGCATGGTATTTCTTGTGTTGAGAACTCTCAACTAGAGAGCACACGTACTCGTGAACTGAGCTCTGTTTTGTTGTTTCTGTACCGATTTAAAGAGAGTTTTGCATATGAGGTAGTAGTTGGAAAAAATCTAAAGACTCTTTGGGGTTTCTTCCAGTTAACAAATGGAGGTGAGTGTGTTTTTACAAAATTTGGCTTCGGGGTAATTAAGCTATTTATGTCTGAGCATTTTAAAATCCTAAGGTAGTGTAGATGTTAGGTTGAAAAGTAGTAAGCAGGCAAGAAGTACTGGGTGTGGTGTAGATACTTGTTGATTGAGCAGGGTTTTATTTATGTTTCCTATTTTGGCTACTTTTGGTTGGTTTGTTTCTTCTACGTTTAGCTATGATTCACTGGTCAGTTCAAAACCTGTGCAACTCTCTGTCCTCCTTGTGTTCTAATGCTACTCTTCTTACATTGCGCACTCAGTAGCTTCTCGAATTGTGTAATAACTGCTTCCTCATCATGCTTTTAAAAAGAAATGTAGAAATAGCAAGATGGATGTTTGTGATCGCATTTTGACAAAGCTGTTTGTTTTAAATTTAATTTCAGAAGAAAAGTCAGTAAAAAAATCTGTAAATGAAAAATCATGCCCAAGGTTTTATTTATTGTTATTTTTCTGTTCATAAACTTTTCAGTTGTGATGTTTTCTTTCATTCTTTGGGAGTTGAGATTAGAGTCAAAAATTGAAAAGTCATTAGTATCAGTCAGATTGAAGGTTCAAATGCTGAATGATTGTTACTTCTCTGACCAAACTGGTTCGTATGACCTCACAAACCATCTGTGTGGATTTAACCGGAGTAGAAGGCTGTATTTTTAGGTGCAATTAAAATGTTTTATTACATACAAATGTAATTTGCTACTTTGCAGGTTTCTAAACTGCATGCAAATAATGCCATTTACAGCCATCCTTATCCTTCTTAAGAGAAGATAAGGGCTACAATTTTATCTCTTTAAGCTTGGGGAAGACAACACATAACAGATATTGGTGATAGTCTCTTGTCATTTTAGAGGATTAAACTGTATTCAAAGTCTATTACCTGATGGGGTTTGCTTAATCTGGCTAGTTTGTTAGGCATGAAGAAGCATTTACAAAATGCTACTCAATAAAGTCTCCTTTTAGAAGGAAAAAAGAAGGATCTTTTAAGTACTTAGCAGAGCTTGGAGCTAGTACTAACTTTATACCTAACCCATGCAAGCTGCTTTTTCAGAACCAACTGACATTTTTCTGGTCTGTATTATCTACATATTGTAACAAGTACTGATTTGAAAATCTGGTTGCAGAG